AATAAAATAAAAATGGAAAACGCAATCCAAGCACCTGCGATCGTATTCCACGAGTCAACTAAGCAAAAATCGAACGGACAAATAAAGAAAGAAAAACAAGCGTATTCGATAAATGCAATTCGTTGATTCGGTGATGCGGTGGTGTTCCTTGGCGACTGCTCGTCTACATTCCCCGAAGCCGCACAATGAAATTAAATTATTTAAATCTTTCGGGAAGAGCCATTAGTTTGATTTTGCAATTGCTCAACATTTAAGCTCCGCTCTGATGTTACTCTCTTCGTCGCTCTTGGTGCGCTGCAACTCGGCCGATCCTCGTCTTCGCCTTCTTCTTATTCTTCACCTCTTTATACTTCTTGTTCTTTTTCCTGTGGTCATTTTTTGCCGTTGTGTATTGTGTGTCGACGGAGAGGGCAAGTGTTGAGGTGCAAGTTAGTAAAGGATGGAAGGATTTGACCTGCTGCCTACTGGACGGCTACCGAGCTACGCACCAGCACGAGGACCTGGGGCGAGCGGGGGCCACGACAACCAAGACCGACCGACCGAACCTGCGGGGCGGTGGCGGGGTACGGTCGGATACGTTGGGATCGACACACACACACACATGCACACTTGGGCCTGTTCGAAGGGTGATGCGGGGGTGGGGGGACTGCGGGGAGGACGCAAAACAGCTCATATTCAGGACCGGATTTTATATAAGCACGTGCTCCAAAGGATCGAATATAACTACAAGAAAGACACAGGGTCGACCGTACACCTCAACACCTTACTCGCCTGCAATCCATACACGAAAATACGCTTTTTCTCCATTGCATTCGCACTCCAAGCAGCAGCAGCAACAAATTGTTGAAATTTTAAGAATTAATTACCAAGCACTTTGGCGGTTCAAAGCTCACGGCCACCTAACACACCGAGACGCAGTTTCAATTTTAATTTTTCCAATAAAAAACGATACGTAACGTCTCCAAGAAACAATAGACGATGATGATACGTAATAACAATTAGATCATGATCACCGTCGCTTTCGGCTTAAGATGTGATATGACCAGAGCGAAGAAGGAATACATAAATATAACACATTTGGGTTAGTTAAACTCGGGTCACGGTCAAAGTTAATAATGCCCGGCTACAGACATCTCTACTTTGAGCGTTTTATTAAATGCACATTCAGTTTAAATCAGATTTAATCAAATTAACTCCTATTCAATTTTAAACAAAATGAAATAATACCATGACCATGTGGTTGTATATAAATTTAAGAAACAATATAAGAATTATCAATTTCAAATTCTTGTTTAATAAAATTAGGTATAATTTCCGAAGAAAACTTTTTGATTGAGGAGAAAATGATGAAAATTAGTGTAACACACTAACATACATTTCAATGCTTAATTAATCTGACCCAAAGTTTAATTATTATTGGTGCTGTAATTTGACCGACTTTATTAGCACTCATAAGATTAAACGAACGACGGTTTATTTTTTGTACTTAATTGTGAGCTGTGTCTAAAAATATTCTGCAAATTCCAGAGATAAGGTTACTCACAAGAGCAATGTACTTAAAATATAATACAGACATAATTTTAACAGTGAAATATTTAGTGTGGAACGAGAAACATTATTTCCTTTAAATTTTTGTAAATTCAATCAAATGGATTGTTAGACTGAAGTTAAAGTTATATTTGTTAACCAAATTTATGATTCATGTCCGTAATAAAACAAATGCTTGTACATTTCTGATAGCAACAAAGTGTGATTTAAACCTACGTGCAAGACAGCTGCAAACGATTGGATCTGAAGAAAACTGTTGGACACATGAATAATTCAGCCACGTATTTGAATAAAGTATCCAAATGAAAGAAGAAACTAAATAAAACAAAGACTCTACATTTCTAATGTGATTGTGTTTTTAGCATCGAAAGGTAAATAAAAACGTGCGCGAGTAAAACTTTTCACCTTTTTAATCTAATCTCCGTATCGATTTAGAACCAGAATTTATAGAAAATACACGCGGAGAATGTATCCGAGAAATACGGAAAAGGTGTTACGCCATAACCATTAAAAATAATAACAATCATTATTTTAAATCGAACAAGACGAATACGAAAGAAAGAAAAAACGATACAGACGAAGCATAATTAAAAGGAAAATAATACAAATTTAGTTGCTGTTAATTTATGTAAATTGCCGTTTTAATTGTGGACATGAGAAGAAAAACACACACACACATAGACGGTGACTGTTACTGTTTGTTTCTAGAAACGAAATCAATCATTTCTAATTGGAGTTTAACGAGTTCAAATTGCATTTCGAATGATATCAATTCGTGCGGATTTCTGTTTTGTTCGTTTGTATGATATAAATGGGTCTATAGGTTAAAAACTGTACAGGTAGAGAAAGAAATCATTAATATATATATATATAGACAAATACATTTTTTTTTTTTTTTGTAATTTTGAGGGAGAAATGTTAGTCCGGTCCTGTTCGATGGAGCGCCGCAGGTTATAAATGTGGGTACGGCTATAGATACGAGATTTTTTTTTTAAATTTATTATTTACATCTTGAATGGCTTCTATGATACATATCAGCGTTTAATACGATGGAAAGAGAGAAAGAGAGTCGAGCGCATGCATCCTCGAGAGAAGGGAAAACGGAGAAGAAAGAAGTAAAAAAAAAAAGGTGGATGGACGGAATGGTAGAATGGAGATGGAACGAGATGGAGCTCATAGCTAAGGGACGAAAGGCAGATAAATCTAATCAAGAAGTAGAAGAAGCAGAAGATTAAAAGTGCTGCCAGATATTTTAATGGATCGACAATTAAGCTTAAAGAATCAATCCACTTCTTGTTCTTCATCCTCTGGATTTACCATAAACCTACTTACGATACATATTTTATGCGACTCGTTACATTTCGATTGCGTTTAGTTTCAATTGTGCGTTTCCATCGTTCGAACGATCGTTTAATTATTAAATATATCCCCATAAAATTTATGGTCTCTCGTGTACTTTTCCCTCCGTAGGCCGACTTCAAACAATGGTCTGCTGTCTAGGCTAGGAAGCGATCTATTTCGAATCGATGATGGGAAAGAAAACAATGCTGCTGTTGCGTTGCATGAACCTGTTCGCAGCAGCAGCAGCAGCAGCAACAACAGAACGCGCTAAACATATGAATTATAGAATCCGACCGGATCATTAATGAGCCCGATATTAAAAGGATATGACAAATCTACAATTTCCTGCACTTTAATTACAAACTAAATAAAACACAGCGCTATTTAATATTAGACATAGCCGTAGAGTAAGATAATCTGATATTACTTACATCCGTTCGCCTTACGAAATAGAAACGCATGTACGAACGAACGTACGACATCCATACATACATACATATGATGATGATGCATTAGTTTACCATGCACACAGTCCCAACCAATGTAATTACACACTCATAAATTTAAGGACAAACCGTATAAAATTAAAATAAAATTGAAAACGCAACACTTGCGCAATTTTATTTTCACTTGTTAAACTGGTTGATCGGATTTTATTTTAATTTTTGCGAATTCCTTTCAAGGTATTCTTGCATAAATTTATCACTTTTTATTAAGGACACAACCACCACATTCTACTTTATTTCTCTTCTTCTTTTTTTTTCACTCTTTTCGTTCGCGTTCGGAAACGCCTTACATTTCATTATTTTTATTTATGAATATTCATGGAATTTTTAATAATTTTCTCAATTTTCAATCAAATTATTTATTTCCTCAATTGTTTGAATTTCATCAAAAACTATTTTGATCATATCAATCTTTGAAATACAATTATAACACGTAAAAGTCTAGTATCTAAATTAATAGCATAGTTTTGAAAGAATTTAATAAATAAATTAATTGTGAGTTTATTACATTCTTAATTGTTTTGTCTTATTAATTGATTGATAAATAATGTAAAACCATTGAAATTCATTTTGAAACTGAACTTGACCTGAAATTTCATTAGAAATTGAGTCCAACAATCACAACTAAACTAACGTTTTCGACTGCGAACAACGGATTTCAAACCGTCTGCAGCAGACAATTACATAAATAACGTAATCGTATTCCGCTAGCTCATCGAATTATCTATTTGGCTTTACGATTTTGTAACGACTTTAATTGATTCTTGTAGGTGGAAATTAGAAAGTTCCATAATTGCAAATCCATTCAAAATGCTAAACGTATGCATCGTAGTTTTTTTACCTCGACGATGGTGGTAGTGCGCCTTGTTTTATCCTCTCAGGCAATTACACTTTTTACTTCCCATTTTTTTTTATTATTTATGTGTTTTATTTTGGAAATCATCATCTGCTTCTCTTTTCTCGTTATTGGCGTTGGATCATTAAGTTACAAATCTCGAGAGAAAAGGAGAGAGAAAACAGAAATGCTTTGACGTTGTATTTTACTACGAGTGGATAAAAATCTACGACAAATTATTTGTTTATGCAAATGCTATTCACATATTTCATTCCTCAGGATTTCAATGTCACGATTGACGACAGAACAAGTTACAGTAAATAAAAAAAAATAAATAACACGAGGAATAAGGTTAGCCTGGCGCCAGCACGAAATTTCTTTAGCTCGTCGGAAGCTACCGAATTTCTTTCGAGCGTGCAACGAAAATTCCATTGAATCCAATTGTAACTGAATATTTTATTTAATGCGTTTGCTATTAGAATGATTAGATATTACAAGAGTATCGTATTTCGGCAGCTTAAGCCCGTGTCTAGTCTAGACTGGCTCTCTCTCTCTTTACCTGGTGGCATCTTATTGTGCTTTCCTCCGTACGGACTCGACTCGAAATCGAATGGAAAATCTGTTGTTTCACTAACAACATTCGATGGAATTTCAAACGGAAAACATTTATTTAATATAAACAAATGTTTACGACTTGTTTACGCCTCTACTCAGACAATTTTAACTACGTTTTCATAAATAATAGTAATAAAAACTTAACGCTTCCGTACCTTGTTTATGTGATGGTTGTTATTGTATCCAATGATATCCGGCATGGATGTGAACTCTGAAACAGAAATTTTGCTAATTTTCAATGGAATCAACAAAAAGGGTCACGTCGAGATTTCCCCTTTCATTATTATCTTTGTCTGTTAAAGGTAAAGGTCTGTCAAGTGGAGGGTGTCATTATAATTTCTTCTTTTCTTTTTATTTACCCATTTTACTTAGAGTCTATTTTCTAAGTGACGAGGGTTGATGGGTATGGTTGTAGCACGAAATATGCCACCCCCGCATTAAACATCTCATAAACTGCACACATCCAACTGCTCAATGAAACCTCACACTCACTCGTCCACAAGAAATTCTATGCGATATAAATAATATTTTGTTTATGATTACAGTATTCTGTAATCAGTTACTATAATAGTAAACAAAATTAAACGGTTATACATCATTTTTTTTTTCTTCAATTCGCTTTAATAACTTTTGATGAACACAAATATACATGCGAGTGAGTTGTACAAGTACAACATTATTTTTCCGTCCGTTCATTCATGTTGAAAAATGTGGGTCCAAGACGCGAATGGTTTGTCTATTGCGTTACTTATCGGACAGGGGTCATTTGGGTTTTATCGAGATAGACACGGAATTATTTTTCGTTGCAAATTTATATAGTTTTGTTTAGATTTTGATCACATTCACAAATCATCCCTCCAAATAATTATACACTAGGTCCTCTTTTTATGCGGTTTTGAAGTTATGCGCTTTTATTTCAAGAAACACTTTTTTAAATAACTATTTTAGGCCATTTTGACACAAATTGGCAAACCATTTCATCGAAAAAGATGATAATTCTGAACGAGCATTCAAGTTTCAAGAATTGCATTTCTGGATATCAGGAATTGTACAAAAAAAAATAGCAAAGCCATCGCAAAGTTTAATCACTGATTATATTGTTAAAGGAAAAAAATCAACATGTAAAGTTGAGACTAATTTTACTTGTGAAGAATCATTATCTTCAGGACATAGATCTGATATGCTGACTATCTCTTCTAGTGCTTTGAACCAGTATTTGTCCAGTTACGAAAATTATGCCGAACACTCTCATATGCATCGATAATTCTAAAGAAAAAAATGTGAAGAAAGATTAACTTTCATAAAAATTTCTGTATTTTTTTTTGTAAAATTTTTCCGTATAAATTTAGAAGGAATATGTTAAGATTATATTTTTCTGAAATTTAATAAACTTGTCTATGATTGTTAACGTTTTTATAAAATTATGAATAAACATTTCAGAAAGAATATAGTAAGACTGATTATTTTTCTGAAATTTAATAAACCCTTTTTTATGAGATTTTCGGTATATTGTAACTTATTGATTTAGTTTTATGCGGTTTTAAAAAATTATGGAACGTATCCTTTATTTTTATACGTGTGTGGAACGTATCTACCGCATAAAAAGAGAACCAAGTGTACTTAAAAAATAGAATTGACTTGATGATATAAATATAACTTGAAAATGAATAGATTCTTAATCTAATTCTACAAATCAAACATGTTTCAACAGCAGATATCAAAGTAGGCTTGAATAATTCAAACATTACTTGAAATGTCCTTAAGATATCTTTAATACACATTTTCCCGTTAGATCGTTGATTAAATTATGTGTGATCAAACACTTACAAAATACACAATTTGCAAGTGTATCGCTAAATAACAGTACAGTACTTCCTCATAATCGGAATCGGATTAAGGAGAGAGGAAACAGGCACTTGGAGGATTGGTCATGTACAATAATTTCTTTTTCTGTATTTCGATTACGGATTTTGGGTCCGGTGACAATTTCCGGTTCGCCTTAATGCTTACAAATCGGCGCGCATTGTGTGCAAATGAAGCCGATTGTTGTAACAAAAAGAAAATGAACGCAGGCTATGGGCTATGGCTAATACTTTTAAGTAGCGCAACGTGCGCCGTGTGTTTGTAATGGAAACAACAAAATATGTACATGAACGAGCGCCAAAGCCGAAATTTGCATACGCCCGCTATTTTTAAAAAGAAAACTCAACACTCTAACCCGTTCAATTCTTTTTTTTTAATTCGATTCTGATAGTTCTCCAATTTCTTTGTCGTCATCGCCCATCATCACAGCAGATAACTGTGTCGGACGATCATTTTCTTATTGCTAATAAACAGCCGCACTGATGCGAAATTAATGTTACACTAATTGTTTATTAATATTTAATAATCGATGGAAAATTTTGGCTCCTCTGTTTATTTCCAGTCAAAGTTTAATAGATTTATGTTTCATTTACTTTCGAGATATACAGAGCGTTCTATAATTACATGCATCAAATCTACGTCGTTCCAAAATAAACTACCGGTTTTTTTATTTTTTTTTTCTAAATTTTAAACACCCTCGAGATATAAACAGACAATGAATGATATTTCTCTTTTAGAAAAAGAAACTTCGTATTATCTTTTTACACCTTCAGGACTCGACAAAATATAATTATATGGATTTCTCATGCATCTTTCACCTTCTATGCGTTCTTTTTTTCTATGAAATATGGGTAATCTCCTCTTAACACGAATTCGCATAATTCTTTGCTTTCAGGTATGTACCACTCCTCATTTTACGAAGAGTACTGCAGATTCTTAATTGTTCTCCACTTCAAGACGATTCATATTTAATATTTATACAAAAAAAAAAGTATAATAATGTTAAAAATGTTTATATTTTTTTATCAAACAATAAAAACTAAAGTTCAAACGAAAATTGTATTTTGGTAAAATGTTGTTCATGATTGAAAATTGTTGCTATTCGGCAGATGACATGCTTTGGCTTTGGTATTTTGATGGTCCTCTTATTTAAACTTTAACATGAGCTAACAGACATTTCGTCGTTGCAGAAAAACAATTGCATTTCATATACATATATATTTTTACGATGAGTCTATTTATGTCTAGAGGATAATTTATGGGACGAACGGAATGCAAATAAGCAATGCACAAAAAATACTCTCGTAAATGTCCATCTCATTAAAGCGGATGGTACTTACAATAAACGCATCTATGGCTTTCCTACAGACTCGCCAATATCCATTCCAATTTTGCCAATAGACAAGAAAGGATAAAATGTAATGTAAGCAATGTTTTTTTTTCTAATATTAGTATTAGTTCGATGATGTAACTAATAAAAAAATATATATTTATAAAGCAAGACTTATTTTACAAAATGAATTACAATGAGTCATAATGCGTTTAAATTCGCACGTTTATCTGCAGTTATTTATGTAATTGGATAATCCTGACAAGGAATATTGTTATTATTAATTTCATTAAAAAATATTATCAATTTTAATTGTAAACTAATTGCTTTGTGTCTTTTAAGTTTACAAACACTGTGATTATTGAAATACTATATTTATAACGTATTTTTTTTCGTTAATTTATAATATTTGTCTATTATGAATTATTTTTTTATATTATATTTTGCGAACGGCGTTGCTTTTGCGTAAATACTTCAGACATTCATACAAACACATACATGCTTGCTTACACATACACACACAGACACAGTGGGGCATATTACATAATCCAAGAGCGCCGCGCACTCACACACGTACATTTATACAGAGAGGCTATTACATAAAGATTTCTTATGGAGAAAAAAAAAATTGGTATCACAATTTTATAATAAACGTGTTTATCGTATAAATGGTATTATCTAAGAGGTTATCTGTTTCGAAATATATCCGGGCCTGGCAAACAATCTATCCACTATGCTATTTCCATTTTCTTTTTATTATTTATATACATCATGGATGCATGCATATACACATAGTTGTTGTATGCGTGGTATGCGCGCGAACGACTACTTTTTCTTCTTTTTCTGTTGCTTTTTGTTGGTTTCACTCTCTCTCTCTCTCTTGTTGATTGATTGGAAACAAGAGGCCGCGTTGTCTTTAGCGAGGATACGATCAGATGATCCGCGATCCCATTCATTATATTATTGTTGGTCATCATTGTTTCCCCACTCGTTCTATCTCTCAATCTCTTTATTCCTCTTATTCTCTTATTATTTTGAGGAGTGCCACCAGCCAGGTCCGATGATCATTTCAAGTTATTCATTGCGACCGCCGGATTCGGCACAAACCGCGACAATGGTAAAATAAATACTTAACGATTCTTTGCCCTTAATAAATTTATTTACATTTCCAACACCCTGAACACGAAATAAATGTAATAGGATCAAGGATAAGCCGATATTCATCTGAATGGCATTCCAGGAAGCTTGCTCGTCTTAGCGTTAAATCAAAAAGAAAACATTTCAAGTATGTGCTTTTTTCACTTAGTTGTTAAAGGATTCATGTAGAGTTATCTATTGGGTATTTTATCTGATGAGACGAAAAGGAAAAACAACATCTTGAGAAACCTACACATATATTAAGGAATAAATGAACGAAAGTTGTAGTGTAGACAATTTGAAAATTAGTCTTAGCAAGATCAACAGTTTTTTTTTATTCTTCTTGATAAAAGTACATGGTATTCAATAATATTTTGACGTCATTATTAATTAAGTTGGATAGAATCAACACATTTTTAATATTTATCTACGATAGCTCAAGATAATATAATTATTTTATCAATTAGTTCTTAAATTCTTTACTGAAATAATGTATAATTATAAGTTCGAATAATTAATGAATTGTACAACGGGATCAAATGTTTAGTCGCTCACCTGTTGATCATAGCAACACGAAAAATAATGAATGCATTTCGTGCTCAGAGATATTAGAATATAAAGCTGTTGAATGTTGCTGATTAGCGAAGCCGCTTATGCTAATAGTAATCAGTTTAGTGGGAAACTAAGTGATCGCTAATAAAAAGATATTTCGAATTATTGGCAATTTTGTATCGGGTTTGAATCGACGATGGGGGAAGAGAACCATCACCTGGGCTCGCTATTTGCATTACGCATAAACTATGCATTAATCATGGTGGCTGGTATGTGGAAAAGTACAAGACCGCATGACAAAAAGAGGATGAGGACGAGGTTGGAGGAGT